AATTGGAGACGCTCTGGTAATGATTTTTCACCAAATTTACTAACTTTTGAAATGTAAAATAAGTTTAAATTTGCACTTTTTTCATTCTTATGGAAACTAAATTTTGCTGAATCTCTGTTAATTTAGGTTTCATTTACATCCGACACGAAAAATTTTAAACCATTCTAGTAATAAAAAGTAATAAAAATAGTCAAGCCATTACATTCTCCCGCATCAGTTCTCCTTTTTATAGCTCAATCGTCTTTTCACAACCTGCTAGGTTGAGGGGTTGCACAGTTTCTGAAATGAAAACACAGTCTCACAAATTACCACCGCATTTTTGTCGCTGCATGTTTACGTTCTCGGGGAAAATCCGATCCAGCCACGCTGTTTTTTCGACGGAACAATGTTAAAACGTTTCTAGTGGAATTTGTTTGGATTGATATTCTATTTCCTACTCGAAAAAGACTCATCAATTTTCGCCTCTAATGGAAAAGGCATTACCGCGCGCTTAATGCGTGCGAGGGGCGCGTGCCTTTCTTTCCTTCGATTTGTTTTTATTTTGAAGCACTTGTCGCTAAAAACGCGAGACAAAGAGGGCGATTTCCATTATTGAACCCTCCACGTCGTTAAGGGGTTTGTCACTCATTTGAAAGCAGACCCCAGGGCGCGTTTAACATCCCCGTTAAAACGCATCCAAAATACCCATGATTTTCCCTCCGATTGCCTCACAAATTTACGCTCAAGAAATAGAAAAACCACGCAAGAGTCAAAGTCGAAGGTAACAAAAAAATCGCGTGAGCCAAGATTTATTTATTTATTTTAGAGACCGGTCGACGCATGGAAGGGTTCAAGATTTGTGGCTAGCCGAAATGCTGAGATAAATCAATTGAGTTGGAATTTGCTTTGTGGATGATCCAAATATTTGGCTTGCTGCAAGATCGAGTGCTTTGTTTATGCTAGACGGATTAAAAGACAGCTCTTTCATTTTATCTCACTCCTTTCATGTAATTTAATTAATTTACGTAGAAACTGACTAGTTGCTCTTCCCTATCCAAACTAATCAATTTTTTTCTATTTTATAATTTATTTTAAAGTAAAAATAAATTTACATTTAATAAATAAGGTAAAATTTATACTATTTTTACAGAATAACAAGAACAAGACGATTTGAAATCGCGTATTTTTATGAAAAACGATTTATTTTTTTAATGGATGCAAAAAAGTTCTGGAAATTTCAGCTTTTTTTAGATCAGACCATTGTCTAAGGTAAAATAGGTGCGATTTTTATGAATAAAGGAAAAAATATCATTTAATAATTTCTTCTTATTTTGTTTATTGTATATAATTATTTGAAATAGGTAATTTTTTATTAAAAAGATCAGGATTTTAATTGAATAAGTGTTTCTTGGTAGTTTCAAAATCTCAATTTTAGTTATAAGTGTAAAATTGTTGGCTCAATCTTTTTGGGAGGTACAGTTAAGCTTGAATATCTAACAACAAATGGGTTTAAACGGTGTTTATCTATTTTTCCTATTCAGAATTTTTGTTTTCTAAATCTTACAATTCATCTTTTTGGGGAAATAAAGATTTACCTTTAATTTAATTGTACGAACACAATGTGATGTAACAATTTGGACTGATAAAGAACAATAAAGAAACATGATACATTTTTTAAATAATTCCAACTAAAAATATTCAAAAAATCACTCATTTTAACACAATTAAGTTTTTTTTTGCAAAAACTATAAAGAAATTTACAACTTAACTTTGGCTTCGCTGTAGGTGCAAAAATTATATATTTTCCACTTGTTGGGCGGCAAAGGGTTAAAAGAGAGATGATTAGCGGGAAGTATGTCTCTGCGGCGCGGTGCAGCGCGGCGGCGACGGCACCGAGTGTGCAGAAGAAGTGACAAGTCAATTCAGAGACCCCATTTGCAATTCTTTCCGAAGGTCGTCGGTCTCTCGGCTGCAGAATGTGAGGCTGCGGGAGAGCAGAGCAAATGTTTGAAATATTTGGTGGTGCGGCTAACGCGCGCTATAGACTTGCACAGTAGAAAGAGAGCCGAGCTTTTCTCGACGCTCTATTATCTTTTATAAATTCTCCGCCGCACGCCGCTCACTTGTCGCGTGTGCAGCTTGAAAAGCTCTCTTCTCGTTGGCAAGTGCATCGGAATCCGGCTCTGACACAAAAAATTCAAATTCAAATTCGCATTTCGGAGATCAATCTTCATATATGGAGAGGATAATCAAATTTTTCAATTTTATTTTACTCAAAATTATGAGCGCTCAATAAAATATTAAATATTTTAAGCAATTAATAGATTGATACATTATTAGTCCACTTACACAGTACAAATATAAATAATATAAAAATAACCATTAAAAGAAGAAAAATAAATACGTATTAAATTTTGTCGATTTCTATTTTTATTAAATTGAAATAAGGAAAGAGGTAAATTAATAATAAAAATTAAACAAATAAAATTAAATAATTTTAAAAAAGTTAAATAATAATAAATGTAAAGAAATTAATAGCTTATTTTCGTTTGCAAAATTAAATACGTGAATATATTTTAAATTTATTACCATCTTTTGTTATATTTCTTACAAAATTCTAAAAAAATTAAATTGCTTAAATCGTTCACAATACGCGGATTGAGGTTGTTCTGTGGCTGAACGCGAATCCGCAGAGCCGGCGCATTCCTGCAAGTTCATGCTCTTAGGCAGCTCTGCTGTCTTTCGCGACTTTGAAATCGAGCGAATTCAGCAACGAATTAAGATGAACCCGAATTGAAACGACGCATTTATATTTACAGACATTTCACTCGAACGCAAACGAGGAAAGAGGTCGTTGAATTGTCGGGGCGTGGGAGTGAACGCGGCGCGCGTATTTTGCAAACCGCATCGCCAATCAATAATTCACTCTCTGCGGCGGCGGCCCAGGGGCCAACGACTCATAAATAAGCAATCAACCTGGCAGAGGTGCATATCGCAGCTGTTTATTAACCCTTTGTATGTACGTGAGCGCGCGGACAATTAACAAACCGTTCAAATTCCCGAACAAATTAATGGGCGATTTTTCACCGCTTGGCAACAACAAAACGCCCGATCGAAAAGCGCGCTAATGAAAACGTGTCGATACTTGACAATAATATTTCACAACGTGGCTAATTAACCTTTTTTAAATGTATATTTTGATTTCATATTTTATACGAATCATAATTGTTTGAAAATAATTGATAATTTGAAGCTTTTATAAACGATCAACAATTATTACGAAAGTAAAAAGGTAATTTTTATAAAATTAAAGCTTCTGATGTTCTGATTTTAATTAGAACATTATTTATAAAATCACACGATTTTTCTCTTTTCTGAGGCTTCATTTGCATTCATTTGGATTTTGAAGTCCCCAGATGAATGTATAGATTAGGTTGCAGGGAGAGCATTTATATTTGCACGTCGGTAGCAGCAGCAGCAGCATCTTTCCCCCTTGAGGAGATGGACCAATCGCCAGCTGCATGATATTTGCAACCCTCGACGAAGGGTGCGCGGGGCTCGGTTTCCATGGCGACCTGCGAGCGCAGCAGCCGCGCGAATATTACTCGCAGCGCGCGGAGAGAGAAAAAGCATCCCCAGCAGCTCTGCCTGCCTGGCCTGCCCGTTTGAAACCGGCAGACAACAATAATGGGGCGAAACGAACAGGGCGAGCAAGAGCAGGCAGGGCCACCAAAAACTTCCAAACTGCCAAAAGTGAAGCGGCTAACCTTAAAAATGAGAATCAAAGCAAAAGAGTCCAAATTTGAGTATATCTGATTTAAAAAGCTGTTTATAAATTTAATTTTTACTTTCAAATATTATACCAATGAAAAAACATTTATTAAAATCATATATTTACAAAAACACAAATTCTTTCATTATCTGGACCGCAAGACAGCTCTAGTTTCTTAATCGGTCCATAATCCATATATGAGTTTCACATAAGACTCATTGCTCCAATAATTATTTTACAAATTATTTTACGAATATTTTATTTGATGATTTTATTGCATATTATTTTAATTTACAAATTAGTGGAATTATTTTGTTATTTTTTACTTTAATTTGTGCTCTGACAAAAATGTAGAACAGACAAAAATTGATGGAGATCGAAATATGAAATAATGATCTTTAATCAATTCAATTATGAAATTAAACAAATTTGAAATAAAAGCAGCTAATTTATTCCTTTTTCTTCATTTAAGATTTTAAAGTTTTATCTTCAAACTAAATAAATACTCCATGGATTTTTTTTTTGTTTTTTTAATGTTGAAAGTGTAAATTAAAAATTTAAACTTAAAATTCAAATTAATTATGTAAATTTTTAATTCAATATTCTTAATAAAATAGAAAATTGTCCTTTATACACACGTTTATTTAGATTTTAAGTATCTTGTGGCTTCTTAATTTGATAAAATTTTTATCTTATCCATTATAATTGTATGTTTTGTTCTTTTTAAATTTAACTACTAAAGAAATTCGCGTAGAATATAAAGTGTTTTTACATGTGTCAAGATCGTAAATAAATTAATTTAAATGTTAAACGTTGGTCGGGACACACAGCTGATGGAAACACTTGCATGCATAATCACAAAACTATAACATCTGCGCCGTTCAAACAACAGGTTCCTCCACTTACTGTCCGTCGCGCGTAAAAAACCTTTCGCATTATTTAATCAAGCGCAAAAGTCATCTATTTTCCGGCCCACGATTATTTGTCACCGAAAATCAATTAGCGGCGCGAAATTATGCACGCTCGTGCACAAAAGCGGCGGCACAGTCAGCAAAACGCAATAATCATTCCGCTGCAAATAAGAACAACGAGGGGCGGACGGGTGGGGGGGATTTAATAATAAAATTCATCATTCTCGGCCGATGCACTTACTCGCAATTAAGTGCGTGCACGTGTCCCTCCGTATACTGTACGAAAAAGTGAAAAACGATCTCGCTCACGCACCCCCCTGCCGCTTTTCTATTTGCAGGACAAGGAGGCCGAGCAGCCGGACGACGCCCCCGAAGCCGCGGCGGTCCCGAAGAAGGACGCCGGCAGTGACAAGACGGCCTTCGGCGACGACGACATGAGCTGCGCCCTGCGTCCCCAGCAGGGCCTCGTCAACCCCTTCATGCAGCCCGACGACGACGCCGACGAACTCGCTGCTCTGCAGACCGCCAACGAGATCGCCTTCGCCGCCAACGTCGGCCCCGGCGCAGCCCCTGCTCCGTTTCTTGACTTCCCCACCAGGGTGAGTTTTACAAACTTTCATAAATATATTCTAATATTTTAGCTGACAGTACAAAATATGATTCGTATATCTTTATTTATTAAAAAAAATTAACTTTTATTTAAAGAAAATAAATAATTTCTAGAATAAGTAAAAAATTAAACAAGTAATGATAATTTTTACCTACTTACATTGAAATTATTTAAGTAACATTCAATTAATGTGCATTTTCAAGGAGCCTTACTTTAGATTTTGCATAATAATTTTAAAAGTTAACGAAAATGAAAAAAATAATTTTTTTCCCAACGAGGACAAGGTCCTTTGTTAATCTCTCGTCGTCTCCTCAAGTGTCAATCAGTTTGTTCAAATTAATTTAATTTTTTTTTAAGTAATTAATTGAAACTTGAATTGAAAGTATAAAATAGTTGATAAATTTATAAAAAGTAATAAAAATAATGATAAAATGTAACTTTTTCTTGCAATATTTATTGTGATTCAAAATAAGAAATTGTGAAAAAGAGATTAATATTATATCAATAATCCAGATCTAAACAAGAGTTATTCCTGGCTTTAGGCTACATTGACCCTTTGAGACAACTTTTGCCATCACTGAAATGGTTTAAATTGATATCATTATTGTATTATTAAACTAGATCTAAGTTTTTTTTTGAGAACGTAAAAGGCGATTAAACAAAAGTTTCTAATTTAATTAAAGTTACTTCACGTCATCGAAAAACTGCAACGGGAAAAGCTAAGTAAAATAAAAATACAAAAATTAATAATTTGAATGCTGTTTTGTTTATTATGAACTAAAACACACCAAAATCATAATTATTGTACTGCTTCAACTTTTACCGCTGAACAATAACTCGGTCTTTTGGATCACCCTTATTGTGCTTGAAATTAATTTCTTTAGAAATATTGGATGAATAAATTGGAGTCAAATTAAAATAATTATTGTTTTTGATACAAGTAAACAATTCTTTAAATTATTTTGCAAATTATCTTAATTGAATTAAATTTTTTTACTTTTTGATTAAAGAACAAAACTTGCAGCTTCCATTTTTGAATTAATTATTAACATTAATCTCTCTGCGGCCATGATGCATTTCCTCTCAACGATAACACGATAAATTTCACGCGCCATTAGCAAAGGATTAGCGGGTAAACCGTAAATCAAACGCAAGTGAATGGTAATTGACGATGGAATTAGCTCGCGGCCCGTCTTCTCTCTCCGTCGGAGACATATTTGAATTATGACAGACCGCGCGCGGTGTCTTACGCGGAACATGTGTTTGGATGATATGGGAGCTGACGAGGCGCGCGGATATACATTCAATATTTTATGTGCGCGCCGAGAGACAAACTGCTCATAATTTACGGCACCCGCCGTGAATTACTCATTTGTAAGACCATTAAAGAAAATAACATGTCATAAATAACCGATTTTAATGCACCGTGCAGGTTTTGATTCAGATGTCAGTCGTGGTTATTGTAAAATGGATATAAATATTTTGATTTAAAATTGGTTGAGACATAAAAAATGGATTAAATCGTAGAAGTTTTTATTTTTCGTTAAAAGCTGAAAACTTCAAACTGTTTCCAAGAAATCAATTTTATCAATAAAAATATCCTTAATTTAATTTATTTATTATTTTACAAACTGATTAAAATTGTCCCTTTGTTGTTTTCAACATTTTTTTTTAATTACGAGAGTAAAAAAATTGAGCAACCACTGAAATTCCTAAATGATCTGAGCCAAAAGCTGCGGAATGCGATTGTATGTGGACCGATAATTAGTGATAGACGCGATTCCTCGGCACGCCAGCAATTCACCCGAGGTGGTTTGGCGCACAACAGATGTAGACTTTTGAGAGGGGCCACCTGGGCGCGACCAAGTTTGGAATATTATCCGAACCGACTCTTTGTCGTCGATATGGATGAGGCGCCGCATGGGAAACAATATGTGAAGGATCAAAGGGATGTTTGGCCGCGAATTAAGATATTGTGCGCGCGGGGCATAAAGGGTCACCCGCTGTGCGCATTACACCTCATCAACGTCAGGTGCCGGCCGCAGGGGGTCTCTTTATTCGATTCATGACTCAGATTCTCTCTTTCATGTTCGCCAGCGAACGCACCACGCATAGAGATTTCCATCGATTATCGATGAAATTTCCAGCCAGCTCAAAGCTCATTCGGAAACTTTGTCTCGGGAATTCGCTTTGAATTATAACCTCAACATTTTTATTTCTTAATTTATCAATCAATTTGACCTCATTAATAAATTTGCATAAGGATGTTTTTTTTTTAAAAACGTTCAAAAGAAAGTTTTAACTTCATTAAAAAAAAAACATCATTTTGAATAGATTTACTTTGCCTGAAATAATGCTTTGATAATAATAAAAAATTATTGGCTTTTCTTCTCATATTAAACTAAATGATTGTTAAATTCTCTAACAATAGAAATAATTGAGAAGTTGAATTGAACAAATATAAAAATTTTAATTTAATTATTAGTCAAAACTTTTCTGCTCCTAATTATATGGATTGAAAAAATCTTCCAAATATACCAAAAACGTTTTTAATATTATTGCTAATTATTATAATTGCTGTTTTAAAAAGTAGAATTTTTGCACATTTCTGTCTTTTAAAAATATCTAAAAAAAGCTTTGATATAATTTCTGCACATTGCCTTTTTTCTTAATTAATTAATAAATTTACCCTGGATTTGATTTTTGTTTGAAATTTCAGGACCTCCCGACTGACAACTCCAACTTCTTGAACTTTCATGACACTGCCTTCAACTCTGTGGGCTTTGGATTCGCCGACTACCTGGTACGCGTGAAAAATAATTTCCTGCGCGGCTTGTTAATGTTGCAAATTATTCTTGCCGTTTGACAGTGCCTGGCCAACGACAACCTGAAAGCCAACAGCAAAGCCCATTACATGTCAGCCAACTGCGTCGTCTTCACCAACTACACGTCTGGGAACGCCGCTGCCGAGGTTGATCAGCACTTCAGCCGCGCCCTCGGCGCCCTAAACAAGGATCAGGTCATTAGAAATTTTCAAATGAATTAAAATAAAATATATTTTCATGCAATTAAAATAATAATAATGGGAATTTTTAAGATAATTTCTTTTGATTTCAATTGATTATTGAGCTGACTGATGAATATTTTCCGTCTTGGGAAAAATAATTTGAAGTTTAAGGAAAAATTATTATGTTAAATTCAATTATTCCTTCCATTTGATTTTCCAATAAATTTTTTCACTATTGTTTATTTTGTTTTTGTTTTTTTCATTAAACGATTTCATCAAATCGATAGATTAAGTTTTTGTATATTTTGTTTCTAATTAAAGAATTTTGCAATTTATCATTTCAGGCTTTTGGACAAGCAATTCTTGGCAAGCCATCTCTGTTTGACTTCAAGGGCAAAATGTTCCCTCCTGGATTTGGAACTTCGGTCAGGACTTGCCCTGCTCGTCAGTTTTCAAAGAAGAACATCAACTCCCTCCAGCTGCCTTCTTCGTCATCTGCTGGTGAGTACAAAAGCAATTTGACTTTCCATTCATTGTCTCTGCGAAAGAATCCAAGCCATGCAGGCAGGAATGCATCGGGAATGAGGATATTTATGTAAATAAATTTTTATCGTCATCTCTTGCGCCTCTGAGATGGGCCAGTGAATATTTTGTCAGTAAATTAATTCACCACGTTCCTTTCATATACCTGGCCCGTCGTGGGACGAAGACACTCGAGCACTACGGGGGAGTGTTTGAATGAAATTCCAATCGAAACGCTTCCATTTAATGAGAAATTAATTGAATATTTCAACGCTTTTAATAAATAACAAATTTAAAAGTTTAAAAATGTAGAAAATTAAAGAATTTCTGAAAGATCAATCTTTTTTTAAGCAAATTATGGTTTGATCAAAATCAGGAGCTAACAAAAGTCACCCTTGAACCGATGTGAGCGAAATCGGGTGATTTGCGATTAGGGAAATTTTGATCCCGTGAGAAAATAATCGGCGGGTAATATCTTACTCGTTGCTTTCGAAGAGCGCGGTTGGCTGGGACGAGAGCGGCGCGCGGAATTCGGCTGTAGTAGCCGGTGGTGGAGCAGTAAAAATAATTGATGGCCATTGAGCGCGCAACCGAGTCTGCATATAAAAATTCTACATCATAAATTTAACAACACAAGTAGTGTATCATGTCACATCATCGGCGTGTAGTAGGAGTGCGCAGAGGTCAAGCCGGCGAGGCAAAAGCATCTCGTGCACTCCGGGGAATTTGGATGGGCCACGAAAAGAGCCCTACCGTGTTTTGTGTCATCAAAGCGGAGCCCATCAACAACGCCGCGCGCGGCCCGGCGCAAAGGTCGGTAGTTTTGTAGATATTAAAAGTCCTTCTCGTGAGAGATGCTCCTTCCCACTAACTCGTTCCCACGCTTCGTACTACTCTATGCTCGTGGACCATGCATCATCTCTTTTTGTTTTTCCGATGTCATCTCGGCCGCAGATCACCTGCCGCGATTACGCGTCTAACAAATGGTCCTCTCGATTTCGCGTGTCGTGATTTTGGTCCTGATTTTTAGAGTTGTCAAACCATCCAGAAGAGATCCAATTTTCATTTTAAATGGTTCATAATAAAATTCATTTTAGTTAAATAAAGCAAAAATTATTTAATAATGAAAATTATTAAATTTATCCTCTATTTTATTTCTAATTGTAAGCTCACTCTTGAAGCCTCATGTTACAGTGGAATTTAATTTATTATTATACTTTTTCGTTCTTCCTAATTAAAATTAAAATTCAAGTCAAAGAAGGGAAAATATTAGCTGATAAATTTATTTGTACATTAAATTTACATTTTAAGCTTCTGTTGTTATTATAGAAAATAATTATTTATAAAACTATATTTTTGATAAAAATGACTATTCATGAATACCATTTTATTGTGATAATAACAAATCGTTTATAAAAATAAAAAGTAAATAAAATTAAATAATAAAAATAACTGTAAAATGTTTAATTTCATATTTATTATAAACTAGATTGGAAATAAAAATTATCTAATATAAATAATACGTGCAAATACTTTTAGATTTACAAAAAAACTATATTTCATTATTTAAGATGATATTAAAAAATCAAAATTTTACGCCGTGGTTGGGCTTCTGATACTCCAAGTTGCATTAATGTGAAGCAAAAATATCTAATTGAGCAGGAAGCCGAGTTAAATTTCACAATTTTAATATCTGCGGTGGCGCGGCCGGTCCTTTGGGCAGAGCAACTTTTACATCCGCCACTGCAGGCCGTTTCCCGGCGTGCATTCGCAGCAAAAACGACGGTCCAGAGAGCCCCGCACTAAATTTTATTCCTTCCACACAAGTCGGAGAATTTTTTCCGCAGCAACATTTTAATTAAAAAGCTGAGAGGGAGCCTTACATATATAAAAAAGGATCATCTCTGGGACGAGGCCTTTATTTCAAATGCGAGAGAGGCCGAAAAAGCAGCTCGCTCGGTTCGACCGCCGCGCTTTTATACACATTTTTAATTACGGAGAGAGAGAAGGGTTGACAAACCCAAATGCTTCTGAGGCGCGCGCGCGCCACCATCAGTGTGTAAATAAAAAGTGAGCCGTGTAATTTAAGGATAAGAGCATGACATATCCCGGCGCGTGTAATTCACTCCTTCCTCTCCCGCTTTTTACGCCATATCTCGCCCTCGACGGGATTAAACTTCCCGCGCGCCTAATGGCACCACTTAATCCTTCCTCTGCGCAGTTCACCAGTTTATTATTTCCTTGCACTGCCTATTTATTGGGACGTGGTGTGCAGAGGTGCACTATTTCCATTAACGACGCCACACTCGGCTTTTCCCTCCGAACTCGAAAACTGGAGAAACTCAACACCGAGTTCAGTTAATTCTTGGGTCTAATTCGGATCGAGGGCGATTAATGTTTTTGAAATGGTGGGAAAGGAAAACACCGGAGGGTGGTTGAACTTCTCCAGTTCTTTCAAGTTTTATTTTATTCGGAATAAAGAAAAAAAAATCATGTAGACAACTTTTGAACTTTAATTTCCAGGGAAAAATTGATTCTCACTGTTTCTTCTTCGTTCATTCGAAGCTGCATGTGAAAATGGTTTTTTCTATCAGATCTTAAACTAATTTCATAATGTCCATAGTTTAGATAAATTGAATAAATCATATGAGAATATTTTAAAATTTACAACTTTTTATCATAGTTTTTATGATTTTGTCGGATATTTGTGCCGTAAAATTAGCCGATCTACAGTTCTATAGTTTTTGTTTTGAGGTTAAGTAGCTGCAAAAAAATAGTGCAACTCATTTAATTTTTGCTAAAAACGTTTCTTTGCAGACTCAATTGCCTATTAATTTTAAGGACTTCTTCAGTTATAAAAGATTATTTTGTGAATAGCTTAAATGCATTAATTGAAAAATTGGACTACAATGTGGATTTTTTTTTCATCTCAAATAAAAGTTTTATGAGTTCTTCATTGCCATTATTTTTGTTGATGGAAATTCAGATTCTTACAGAAATATAAATTTTTAAATATCTAAAGATTTTTTTTCATTTGTTTGAAGAAGTTGACACTCGAAGAGATGATCATGGGAATGATTTTATATTATTTTCAATTAATAATTAATAATTTTCATCTCTTTTTGAATTATGATCTGTACTTAAGAAAGTAAAGAAGAAATAATGCAACATTAAGGAAATGCTGTAGAATAAAAGTCAATGAAACATGAAAATTATTACCCTGCCTCTCCTGAGACTGTTTTTCACACCAAAGTGCGTTAAGTGCAGGTTAATTTATCATGACTGCATGTTTGTCACGTGACGCCGCTTTTCAGCAACTAAAGCTCTTGTCTCTCGCGAGCTAGCCCGTTTTGTTCGCCCCTCGCGCCGAGACACCGGGAGCATAATTAATCGGCGACGCGCGATAAAAAGTAAAATTAACGCGCGCCGCGCCGGGCCGAATTTGCATCGCAAGCATTTGGATGGATTTATGTACTTTGCTCCTGAGAGAGATTTTTCAGAGTAGCTTTTTCCCGGCGGAGATTGTCACATAAATTATCAACCAACACGTCTCTCGCGCTGCTTGGTTGGTTGCGCTACAACAAAACACGGCCACCGATGCCACAACACGGCTCAAACTTTTAAACGCGCAAAACTGCGCCTGATGAGTAGAATCTCTCTTTGTATACTTTTTCAAGAAGCAGCAGAGTGTTTACTCTAGTGTAAATAAAGTGAGTGAGTGAAGGCGAGAGTTAATCATGAATTACAAAAGCCGGAGCCCGGCGCTTCTTCTCGAGAGGGAAGTTTCGGAGGAGCAGCGAGGGAGGCGATTTGCTTAATTATTCCTTCGGCTGGAAATGCGGCGCCCGTCCGAGCGTGAAAACTCGATCCAGTGATAAATCGTGCACATATATAGGTTTACCGCACTCTGGTTTTAAAAATATTCCAAATATCCGGCCGACCGACTGGTAGACGAAGTAATATACCCGAGACCGACCGACGTTTGCCCAGGATGGATGATAATTTACACCGAGCGAGTGTTGAGCGGACGGGTTAGAATTACGCGATGTGTCCGGCCGCCGCCGCCGCCGCACCAGCGTGTTGGAACTAATTTGGGCGCTTTTTAATGAGTTCCATTTATTATAAGTCGGCAGTCAGTGGATGTCGTCACCGGATTCCTATCCACTCGCAGAGAAATTAGGGCCATCCCCGCGTCAATAATCTTTTAATTGTCTGCTCTCTTCTCACATAACACGCACTCGATACGTATTTCTTCGTTTCTCCAGCTTCAAATCAGGAGTTATAAAGAAAATGTTGGATTATTCCACGGTTTATTGACAAAATTTAATTGTAAATGTTCGAATTTTTGTATTAAAAAAGCAAGCTTCCTTGAAGAATTAGCAATTATATAATTTGTTTTTAATCACGCGGTTTTTTGTTTTAACTAAAATGTAAAATATTATTTTGATTCATTGCATAAAAATTTAACCCGCATGCAATTGGAAATGTGAGTTTAAGACCCTGGTCCTTGAGGCTAGAAAGTTGTAGAAAAACACAAAAATACCTTCAATAATAAAAAAGCTTGCCCTCTGCAAGTTTTATTGTTTTAATACAATGCAATTGTGTATAATATGTTTTAAATTATTTTCAGATGGCAATATTAGATTACAGTTTATCTGCCGCATATTAATCATCCGCTCAAAAAGTAATTTATAACAAATCTAGAAATTTTTAAATACTGCATACTATTTAATGCAATTGTCATTAAATCCAAATTAAATCAAATTAAAAATTTATAAATTAATTCGTTTAAATATAATAAATAAAATAATTAAAGAAATTTAAATGGTTAAAAACATATTAAAATATTAAGAATATAATAGATCTTAATTTGCTTATTTAAATTTTGTTAAAGTTGTTGGTATTAAAACGTTTCATAAATGAGAATATTGCTTATAATTTAATGTCGCACTCAAATAATTTCTCCCATATTTCCAAAC